CCTACTACAAGCCAAGATATTCTGAGCAGTCGACAGCAAGCTGTCTCATATTTTCTGCAGGTGTAGTGAGAGTTTTTTCACGCGAATTTTTTTTATTGTCAAACTTCCCATACCTATGAAGCGTTCTCTAAAGTTACCAAAATCGGTCGAAATTCTTTAAGGACTGTAACCTGGACATAACCGCAAAAATCTACGGGCTTCTAGGATCCATGAGAAGCATGAGAGTAGGTTAAAACGAACGAATTACAACCAATTGCTCAAGTCATTCACAACGTTTTTCATATTCAGTATATCCTCAACCGCCTGAGGTCTGGTACAGCAAAGGTGAAACACTGGGAAAACCTTTACAAGGTCCGTTTATGAGACGTTCATTTTCATAGCTTTACCTATTTCTTTCCACAATTCAGATGATTTCGAATGCTGTGTCCATTGGCAGATATATGGAAAGTTTAAGTACGAAGTTATCACTAGTGGAGGACGACATGGGATGTTTTGGAGACACTTTAGCTGAAACAATGGCTGTATTGGGGGCAATGGTTCGTTGGAGGCTCTCTTTGCTTGCTTGTTTCATCTACATATATCAACCTTGAATTTTCAGATTGACTTTCGCGATTCGCTTGTAGAAAACCGTCTTGTAGTGAATTCCGGTGTTGATCCTGAATTGGATAAAGGTAGCCATGCTTTATGTTTTTATGTTGTTTGCTTTTATGTTCAATCGTTATTATCGATTGTTCCTGCAGTTTTCTTATGTATCATCGTTACTTTAGCGAAAGAACTCTACCGACGGCTGCCTGGAATACTCACGCAAGTTGCACATGACGAATCGAAGCGTCTCCAGGCTGATACTTGTTCGGTGGCCTATGTGCCAATGATTGGATATTTATTAGCTGTACCGTACGACTTCAACGTAGAGCAATTTGATGAGTACGTTTTTACTACGATGGAATATAAAATTATTCTTGCTTCCAAATGCACAACTCTTTTGGAGGAAGTCTCAAAAAGTTGCTCAATCGGCGCATGTAGATGGCATACAGCGGGGTAATTTTGTTATTGGACCATTGTCAAAAGTGAGGCATTCTGAGCCACTAAAAAGACGAATTCACGATTAGAATGAAGGTCGAAGAAGGAGTAATTCACCTAGTTGAGGGACCCGCGGACCTCCTAAGGGTGCGGACTGAAGCGCAATTGGCACCGAAGGAGTTGACCTCGGCGACCTATTAAGGCTCAATCTTGGCGCGGTGGGCCAGTGCACGCCCACCGATCATCTGATCACTCGCCGCAGGTCTATACGTGGCGAGTGATTAGATAGGTGAGAGAGCGTAGTGTTGAAGAGGGCACAGCGATGATAGTCGCATCAATGCTCAAATCAACGGGCAAGGAAGGGTCTGGTCCCATTTCTCATGGTTTTTCCTTTTTTAGTGTATCACTCACCATCGCTAAATTAATTTGAAATTGGGTTGCCTTTCCAGCGTATATTCGTCCTTTAAGCAAGCATGATCCTTTAGATGTCGGTCAAACTCTGTGATTGCATCGCGCGATGCAGTCGCTCTTGCAATGTGCCCAAACGAACCACACCCACATCGATGCAGTCGACATCGGTATCGATCGCGGCGGGCCATTGCCCGCCGCTTGCACTTTTGGCAGAGCGATTGCATCGCGCGATGCAATCGCAGAGTCTGACCGACATCTGAAGAAGTGCGAGCCTTTCCAGCTTTTGTAAATTCTGATAAACCACCAGGCTCACAGCTCTTGCAATATTTTGCAGATGGAAATTGATATGAGAATAGTTTGAAAATAACATGTGCATTATATATTTTTCCAAATGGACGCTGAGAGTATGAAAAAATGAGTTATGCTTGATATTTCTCACATTGCTCATACACACTTGATTGAAGTTTATTCCGCTATCTTTTGATTGTTATGAATTAGCCTCCAAGTGATCTACTCTACGGATAACACATTGAATGTGAAGAGTGAACGAATGAGAGAACTCGATGAAGAACTGGGCGATGTGAAGATGAAAATAATTGATAAGGAAACTACCATTGCCATCAGGTATGTTGAATGCTGTGTCATCAATGGGCAAGCTGTAATTGTAAAAACCGAGTTGCGATTACGACCACGTGAAGGCAGCGGTCGCGATAGCTGAGAAACGGATACGAGTTTGACGTGATATCACTGTTAGAGTTTCAGAGTCTAACCATTCTCCCTTGGTCACTCGCAAAGACCAGCCTTTCCAACAGTGACGCGCCCAACTCGTCTCCACCTCCCAGCCATGAATTATCAAGGCTTCTTGTGCGAAATATCCAGAAAACTCATGTGTCTAATAGTGATTTGAAATATCTTTGGAATTGCTTCGAGAATTTGCTTTAGAATGTCTTCCCTAATATTATCGCGTTCTGCGCTACTGCTGGGAGTTGAACGCGTTACCTCTTTGTTGGATGCGGCGATTTCGCTTGCACTGACGGCAAGACAATTGGGGTAAGGCTGCTATTAACTTCTACAGAATATTTTGAAGTATTTTGTCATTCGATAGGTAATCATTGATACTTTTATATGTTTTTAGTTTCGTGCCATTTCATGCCATGCATAAGACGAGATCAGTAGTCAAATGGTGCCTATAATACACAATTAAAAGTGCCTATAAACTTATACCGTTAAATGTGAAGAGAGAGGTGCCAAATGCTGTGTTTGTAAAAAAACAACATAACGGGCAAAAACCCAAGAAAGCAAGAAAGGGCGCTCACTTCACCCCGTTTATTTCAAATTTGGAAGAGTTAGCCACGGCCGTCGGCGCTCCGATGGTCGTTGTCGTAATAATTATGTACTCCTACTGCGCAGATATCATCTATAAGTGAAAGGGAGGACTGAAATTAGTAAGATTTTAAGGTGAGGCTGCTTGATATGAAAGGCACTCCTGAGAATAAAATCACACAACACATCCGGGGTAAACATCAATTTTTATCGCGAGTTTTTTTTACGTGCGGATTGGAATAAAACGTGACTAACGATAGAGCAGGCATATTGCATTATTCTTCAGCAAAGGTGGAGCATGTTGCCTGTTCAAATTTTCTTATTGACGTCGCGACCCAATAACAAGTTTCCGCTGAAGTCAGAACAATTTTCTTTTTAGATGCCGTTGTCCTACTAAAATTCTAGCGTAGATGAATGAATTGTCCAGTAATCTTGGTGAACATTTTGGCTCGCTCGTCCACGTGAAAAATCTCATCTAGTTATTCTTGGGTAGTAGAAGTGCTAGTCAGTAATGAGCGGTAGTCCACTCCCGTCAGATGAACGCAGAGCCTCTAGTGAAAGTATTTAGGATCCACCCTAGAGCACCTTTCTGATTGAACGCATTCATGGTGACTGCGATTACTTGATAACTAGGCAGCAGAACGCTCTTATTTACCCAGTTTGGCTGCGCACGCATTCGCGTGCATGAGACGGGGCTGCTCAGCGGTAAAATCGGGCCCATCAGTATTTTTGTCTTGATTTTAGCTTTCTGCTCGGTACATCTTACTTACGCCGCAAACTCCGCCCACATCCGGGTGTGCCACGCCCAGCGTTCACATTCAACCTCTACTCCTACTTTCACCTCTGGCGTATTTTTTTCAGGTCTCTAAGTCATCTCGGAGCCGAATTATGAGGTCTTGTAAATGGCGTTATGAGTCACGAATTTCTGAGGCAGACCCCGCCCACTTTGGTGCATGCTTAGCCCAACAATGGCATTCAACCCTACTCCATACCTCAATACTTATGCACATTTTCCCCGGTCGCCGGAACTTCTAGGAACCGAGTTATGAGAGCGGTGGCAAACTCCGCCCACATCCGGGTGTGCCACGCCCAGCGTTCACATTCAACCTCTACTCCTACTTTCACCTCTGGCGTATTTTTTTCAGGTCTCTAAGTCATCTCGGAGCCGAATTATGAGGTCTTGTAGGGGACGAAATCGAGCTACGTATCTTTGTGGCAAACCCCGCCCACTTTGGTGCGTGGGTCGCCCACTGATATCAGTCGGCTATCATCTCTTCCCCAACCTTTTTCTACTTTTCTCCCATCTCTGGAACTTATTGGAACCGAGTTATGAAGTACCGTGGCAAACCCCGCCCACTTTGGTGCATGCTCCGCCCGCCAACAACGGTTGACCCCTTTCCCTCTGCCAACCCTCATACGCTTTTTTCCCGGACTCCGGGACTCCTAGGAACCGAGTTATAAGCCTAATTGCAAACTCCGCCCACTTTGATGTAAGCCACGCCCATCCCTGACATTTAGCTTCCCCTCCCCTCCTGACCTCTATCCGTTGTTTTCCGGTCTCTAAGTCATCTCGGAGCCGATTTATGAGCTCTTGTAGAAAATGCTGTCCGCTTCACGACACGCTCCGCCCATTGTGGGCGGGCCTCCGTTCACATCATGCGTGGTGGAAATACCTTAGGCATTGCTCCCCTGCACTAATTTCGTTTCTGGTCTGTAGGCTTCTCTTAACCGAGTTATGAATATTTTCACTGAGCACCCATTTTCTAGAGAACGCCCGCACGAGGGTGGTCTCTTTCAGGTCAATTGATACCAACCACCTATGCCGACTTTTGTCCCGGTCTCGAGGCTGTTTTGTGACTGAATTTGAAATCATGGTCCTCAGTACCACTCATTTCGACGCAGGCGGGGCTCCGCTTAGGTAATGTATGTTTTTTTACTTCTCGAGATATGGTACACCCATCCCAAACATGACCTGGACCCAGTAGGTTGTTGTCCGCTTAATACGGAATTTCGTGACAGACGACAGACAGACAGACTTAGCGCATTATATATAGTAGGGATATTTATCGCCATAATTTCCATGCGGACTTCCCAAAGTTTGTGGAAGAACCGATCATTGATGCAACACGAGTGGTGCACCCTCTGTCAAAGCTTGTCACTGAGCACTTCGTGGCCAACACTGTGAGGTGAGAAAAATTCCTTCAACGTGTTCTTCTAAAGTTATCGTTAATATTTAAGCTGTTCATTCTCTTAAGTTACAGGGTCTGGCGGGACTCCTGTCAAGAATACCGAAACGTGTTCACAGGACAAATGGACTGCGCGAAAAAGCATCCTATAAAGCAGGTTGTGTGTGGGTGTGTTTATTTACATTTTCGAAGACTATTCTTCTTTATCCAGAGGCCTTCTCGAAAAAAATCTTTCACAAGATCCACAATATTTCACAAGACCACAGATTTGTTCCTCCTAGACTATGGGAAATTTCGAAATATTGAAAAATTGGCTGTCCATTGCTCAATAAACTAGCGTTCTGCTCTTCGGCGGTGAGATTACTTGTTTCCTGCACTATTGCAAGTTGTCGTGACCTGCGGAAGTGTCATATTGCATCGTGACCGCATATGTTTCTAAGAATTACACAGTTGATTCAGTACCCAATGTGATGAGCTTTGCAATGATATGAATCAGCGTTACGTCGATTTTTCTGGTTATCGAACTTCGTATAGCATACATTATACGAAGTTATACGATATCGCGCTGCGTCGAGGGAATGAGCGTTCTCTTGTCATTGTAGACGAATTCGGTAAAGGAACAATGACTGTGAGTTTCATGAATTCTAGTGATCTTTCGATTTCAGCTTACTACTGTGCTCCGAGTCATTCTTAACTCCATTAAAGCTGCCAGTGTTATCCATTTTTTCTGCATATGATTTGCGTTTCAGCTTTGCAATCCAAAAAACATCGTTATTGTTTTTATTTATTTTTTATTTTGTGACCAATTGTGAGTCCAAACGATTCACAGGCAAGTTGGCCTACGTCTGTTTAGCGTCGAAATTATGTACTGAGCTGGGCAAAAGGACACAACCGGGCTGTCACATGTTTTTCGTTGTCTCTCATTTGCATTGCGTCTTACCGAAACTTTAGGTAACTGATCGACAATGAAAATTGTGCCTATCATAGTAAGTTTGGGAAACCTCAAGGCAAGATACCTCTTCTTTTCTCGGCTGTATGATACTTTAGACAATGGGAAGTGCGATGTCGAGGAGCAGAACTTGACTTCCAATATCGGCTTGTTGATGGTGTGGTCGAATCGTCGTACGCAGCATACACGGCTAGTAAAATGGGAATACCGCAAGACGTTGGTGATCGTGCAAAGCAGGTACACATCACTTCTCGACAAGGACTCTTGTAGCTGGCTGATATAAAAATGTGCTCTCGTATGCTCTGAAGGAGCTGTGGTGACACTTCAGTACCTGTTCTAATATTAAATTCTTGTTTTGAACGAATAATTGTGGTAGCTATAGCATAGATCTGTACAATTTTACGTCGAAGAAATAGTTTTTCAAACTTCCTTCATACTCGTGGTCAATGCTTCAGGTGTACGAACACGTACGCGAAGGTCGCGGTATTGGCGACCTTATCATTTGATTCTGAAGAAAGAGCGAAAGAATAGATGGCTAGCGAAGCAAATGTTGGACATTTTGTAGGTTTTCCCGATTGCATCACCTAGTCGAACTCAATGTACGAATCCTTTTATTGGGTTTATGATTTTTTGTATATGTGTTGTTATTTTCGACATTCATTCTAACGAATTATATTCTTCGGTCGACGTTACTCAGTGATGGGTGATCTCCGAGTAAGATATTCGTTCTTATATCTTATGAAGAAAGCCATAATTAAATTGGCGAGTCCATCACTGTCAACCAGTTTTCCAATGTTCACATTAAAGAATTCTTCTCAGAATATTAATGATTCTATCTCAACCTATAAACTCACCGGTTGGGGACCCACGCTCACGATAGAACACGAAAAGAACACAAAAATAGCGCCGTTTTTGGTAATTCGAAAAATCGGAAGGTTCCTATGACGTTCAATACGACCGGAATACGATGTGTGGAACTATCACTGCCCATTTTTGGTACTGTGGTTTCTCTTTCCGGTCTTGGGTAATCTTTCGTTCATTGTCTTGCAGGAAGATTTTCCCTGGGACACTGCGAAAAAAAAAAACGTTCCAATGAACATCGGTGATGGTATCTCCTAGATGGAACTCATAAAACAAGCACATATTGAGAGCTTTGTGGTCTTGGCGATTGTCTCAGCCATGGATACGAAATGGAGCGTAGTTCAGATGTGCCTGAGATGCACGAAACCACTTTGTGGCTCACCATCGTTGAAGTGGGGAACGTAACGATTTTGTGGGCAAAAACCTGTTATAGCGAGATCAATATAAAACCTTACGAAAGCTTATTAGGAAGGTCATATTTCATTTTCATAAACAATGAGAGGAATGGTTTAAGGCCTCAATTCGAGAAATGGGATATTGACAACGAATTGAACAGCCTCTTAGACTTATTAGAGGAAACCCTCTTCGAAGCTGACGAGATAATTGAGAGCGGGACCCTCAGCAGCGTTGTTAAGTTGAGTGAATAATCTACTATGCATGTGCATAAGTACTCTTTTTGTAATCTTAACATGTCATTGCTTTACAGACACAAGAAAAGAGCTCCGAAAAGGTCCAAATGACCTCAGAAGGCCAGGCTGATACCTCCTCCAATGAACGTGAACATGAAACGTCTGTCCCTGAAGATGAAGAAAGCGATGACAATGAACGCGAACTTGAAACGTCTGTCCCCGAAGATGAAGAAAGCAATGACGAGGTTCAAAATGTTCTAGAAGTGAGCACTCCATCGTTACCTAGCGCGTTACGTAGCGCTGAGAAGAAGTCGGATCGCAGGTACGTTTCAGTGAACACTGTTGTTAACTAAAATCCGACGGCATAGTTTTAAGCAATCTGTCCGTATCGTTTGCGGTAGACGTTGTAAGGCATGATTTGACTTCGGACACCAAATGCTCGAAGACAACAGCGGATTCAGAAATGGAGCAAACAGAAACAATTCACAGGTATCCAATTCCATTCAGGTTCTTTCCCTGCTTCAACAGCAGAACTAGCTGAAAGATGGTTAGTAGTCTTCTTTTTTGAATGATTCTGTTCCGTTTGCTGACAGGCTTGTGCTCTACATTGGCCGATGTCAGACTTTGCGATTGGAGCGATTTTGCACCAATTGCAGGAGCGACGGGAGATTTACACCGCCGACCACCGATAATTCGGCGCCATCAGTTCGTAAATCTCCCGTCGCTCGCATCAAGCGATCCGTCGCTCCTGCAATTGGTGCAAAATCGCTCCAATCGCAAAGTCTGACATCGGCCATTTGCACGTCTCCCTTTATGGTTGCACTTTGTTGCCAAGTTTTGTAATATCTCCAGCTTTTTTGCCCAAGTTTGTATTTTAAATGTGGATTACTTATTGTGGCTTGGAAAATAAGTTCGGTATATTGGTATTTTCAAATTCATCGGAATTGTGTCACCTTTCTTTCAAGGATCATAATTGCCGACTCGGATGATGATCCTAGCGTAGAGATAGGCGAAGATCGTGACTTGGTGGCGCCGTTGTCTTTAAATGAGGTAAAGTTACTTTGAAATCGAAAATGTGTGTGTGGTCAACCGGGGACGGACTAGAAATGGTTTTTTCGATAGACTCTCTAGAGTTATCCATTTCAGCAAGAAGGTGATGGTGAATCAAACAAGGACTCTCAGGACCACACGGTTGAAAATTCAACGAAACGTCGCTCCATTAATGCTTCTTACGGGGAAATTATAGCGCCAAAGCGATCGCGGTCGTACTAAAGGACGAAAGGCTGCATTGAAAACTGTGAGTTGTGTCTGGATCTGTTGCCAAGATAGATGTAATACATATTTACCAAATTTGTGACTTTTTTGCTGTCTTTCTTTCTTATTAGTTTCTTATTTTCATTTCTGCTCAAAAAGTTTCTGGGGCTTTATTTTGGCGGCCAGAACCCGTTTTTGTTTTTCCGGAACTTATCCCTTGAATTTATGAAATTTTTCTTCAAGAGAAGAGCTTATCGAGTGAGCGCTCCATATTGGGCGTGTTCCTTCTGTGAAAGCAGTTTAGTGGTTCTTTGCCGCATTGTTCATGTTTATTAAGTGAAAAAATTTCTGTGAATAGTCATCCTTTTACAAACCCGTATGCTATCCAAAATTGTGCCAATCAGTAAGCGGCTGGAAATGTCTCGCAGCTCTATCGGTCGCTTCTGATCACAAGACATTAAAAACCCGAGTATAGTAGAAAAGACTGTCCATATATGTCCGTGTATACTGTTCCGATCAAGTTATGGGTCTGCTTCTGAGTGTTGCAAGCGACATAAATTTTATTTGTTGTGCAATTGAAGTTACCGTGTATACGGTAGTACTGTGTCGTGATCGTTAGAACTTTCTTTCGGAACTTATGTCAAATTTATGGAAGTTCTCTTAACAGATTGCTCCGATTGTCGCATTAGCGGCTGGTAGTAGCTAGTATCAGATAGTTATGCTCTGTGTTGGTCCTAGAGATGAAGCGCAGTACGAAGAAGTCATACCCAATAATAAATCACTCGTTTCTCTTAATGATAGGTGGATGTCAACCACCTCCGACATCTGTCTATGGTTAAAAAAAGATGTATGTGAACCTTAGCGACAGCGACAACGCAGTCGCTGCCGCGATTGCACGATCGCCGTGGCTGACATTCACTTTGGGATAGAACCATAGCCTTTAGTAATTTGGAGAGGACTCAGCAACAAGTTGCTGCCTTGCTCTCCAAATCCGATTTTATCGCGTTTCTCGAGAATGCTTGAGTAACTATGTCGAGATATCGTGGTCTTCGAATCTTTAGGTTAGGTTTTTATCAGCCGATGCCTCAAATTGTACCTAAGTTTGCGTGATTGCGGCGGACTGAATTTGCAGTTGGGTTGGCCTGATTAGGAGCTGTCTTCTATTGAACAGAATAAGGGTTTGCATAGAATCCAAATGTATCAGTTTCTTCATTACCCTCGCGCTTCGTCCCGTCTTCTTCTAGCTTACTGACAAGCAACTACAGCAAATGAAAGGAACTATGACGATGTATAGGAAAAACTGAAGCGGGACTTCCTTTGAATGTTGAGTCCCGCCATTTTCAAGCTCATGCAAAATCA